CGGCCCTCGGCCTTCTGGTCTTACAACGAGTGTCCAGCCAGTAGGAGTCTCCCCCGAAGGCCCGGCCTCGCCATCGGACTTACATCGGGGTACTTATCGCTGACTGAGCACAGCCCTGGTCTCAAGCGACGTGTCCTTCGCAAGGACGTAAAGAGGAGATTACCCCAATGGGGTCGTTCTATAGTTACGGGGATAACCATTCGACGGCCGATACAGCTTGCATCGAAGGCTACATGTTCCACATGTATACTTTGATCATACCAAGTAAAATAATAATAACAGTAATAACATTTACAGCATAACCAATTTTTCAAAACCCACCTGGTATCCGAAGGACGAAATCACAGTAATCTGAGGGAAAAAGGTAGGCCGAGACACAGCTCGTCATACACCTACATTACACAAAATAGTCCTATGAAAGACTATCCAACACACGAGCACTTAACTACACTCATGCGATATCACACAACCACATAGTTCAACAACGACACAAAATATAGTTGCAGCTCAGAAATGAAAATGAACAACTCGCATGGTCTCAGTATTTTCAAGATAACATGAGTTATATATATGCTATTCAGGTGATTCCAAAACCAATGAGCAGCTAACATATATATACACAACTTTTATATTGATCACTTAAGCCAACAAGAACTTTAAAACCAAGTTTAAGCATTAAATACATAGGTCAAGAATTCTGCCAATGCAACTTTTTATCAATTTACAGTAGATCACTAGAACAACAATATTTCATGCTACAAACCTCTAAATCATGCACACTCAAATCTTACAGAATCTAAACTTAGAATGCTACAAGTTTGAAGAAGAGCATTTTTATAGATAATCACGTTAAAAGCCTCATTTTAGAGCATACATTCTGAGCATAGTCACAACCACTGTTATAAAAATTCTGGGCACAACCCCAACTTTGAAATATAAAATAAACCAAAACTCTAAATCACACGACTTCAACATCCAATCACAGCTTATAACATCTAATACAAGTTTTATGTTGATCACATTTTCACATAGCCAAAAAAAGATCATCGAAAACAGCCCGACACCACTTACTACAAACCTGCCCGGATTTAACAAAACTGCATGCATGTACAATTTTCTAAAATTCATAAATAATTCAATTCAACTCTGAATTTTCAAATTCCAAAACTTACTGAAACTTAACTCAAAATACTACAATTCACGTGATGAACACTTGCCCAAATAACAGCTTCTTGGTTACGAAAAACTGAGCACAAACAGAAGCATTAGCATGGAGTTCTCAATCCCACTACAACCCGAAACATGCATTCATGGACATAGCTATAGAAATCATATCAACTTGAAATTTTTATACCATATAGCATACCAACCAAGGACTATACATCTCAAATTTCATGCAAGACGGACAATCATACGATTTATTATGATTTTTGCAAGAACCGACGGTCAAACGCGATTTTATCACAATAACACATAATCACAAAACAAATCAATAAATGCCAACCCTATCAAGCAAATCTTATATACGAACACTTAAACGCATATTCAATGATAAACGAGTGGGGTTCGAATGTAGGTACCATTCACGGGAAAATGTTTGAACAACAAACGGTCGCAAGGAACGAACGGCACCACGAGGCTCGACGGCTTCGCTACGTCTCGCGGAGGAAGAGTAGCGGCTAATGGGGCTCGTCGGAGGCTACCAATCGCTGCGAGGGTCACGGCGAAGGTTCATGGCTGCTGCAATTAAGCTCGGGAACAGGGCTGAACGCCATGACAATTTCGACGACAAACGATGGGCAGCAGGCTTCGGTGGTTCACGGCCGAGCGACTTAACGGAAACACAAGAGGAACAGCGTCAAGGGTTGAACGGACCATACGTGTGCTCCAACGGGACTCAACGGCTACGTTTGGCACTCCGGTGGAACTCGACAGGACTCGACGGGACTCGACGGAACACGATGAGCGGGTTGCAGCAGTGCCCTGTGGTCATGAACTCGCGAGCAGGTAAGTACGCTGGAACTTGCGGGACGACGTACAGCGGACCAACGGTGGATAACGCGGACAGTAAACGAGGTTCGAAAGGGGTCGCGAGCAGGTGACGAGCTTCTCTGATGGCCCACGATCACGGATAGCAGATGATGGTCGCGGCGTGGCGGGGGAATCACGGCGCGCCGGGATTTGCAGGTGGTTGCTGCTTGCGAGAATAGAAGCGATGCTCTGCTGCGGGATGATGATCACAAGGATGATGGTGCTGGCGTGGTTTTCTCTGATGACTGCGCGAGGTGAATTTTAGGCGAGGAAGAAGCAATTTATGGTGGCCATCTTTTTTCTGATTTCTCTGGTTTTTTCCTTGCGTGATAATGGTGCAAGAGGGAGAGTTATATTATTTTTCAATGTCTGCAGGAGGGTTTGGAGATATATATCTATATCGGCTAGGTTAAAAGAAAATTATTGCTTCTCAAGAACCACACACCACACGCACAAGGTTGACAAAAACTGGGCTCGGGCTAAGCTGGGTCGGTTCTCTCAGTTCATTACTAATCAATATTCGGAGCTCGATTAATAAAGAGCAGAACCTAGTATTAAGAATCCGACCCTATGCAATCTTATTCTGACCCTCCTTCCTGTCAATCCCAAGCCACCGGCCGGGCCACCTTCGACCCCGGCGACTCCTCTACGGTGCATTTATTTACGGCTGCTTTCCCGCCGCTGGATCGCTCCACTCTCCAGCAAACAAAACGGCCCAAAACCCTAATGAGATCGAGCGAGCCCTTGGAAAATTCTGAACCCTTGCGCGCAATCTAGCCGATGTCCGGTAACCCTCCCAATCCTAGTCCGGCACAACCTACGCCTAAATGGACCTTCCGTGACATGGTGAACAAAAACCGACAACACGTCGATGTTGACTCCGACGATGAAGAACATGATGCAAATGGTGAAAAAGATGTAGTCGCGGACTTGTCCAGTCCTCTGCCGGAGGTGAAAATCTCAAAGCGTT